TTTTTTTTTTTATCAATTGATCTAAAACATCATTACACTTATACTTATCCCTAGAAAATATGAGAACATATATGATGCATTTTATAGTTTGTAATGTTTGTTAGGTATTTGTATTGTATTTAATAAATTAAAAAAATTTAATTAGTTGTGTCGTTAGGTTAATATAAGGTACATACTAGGTACCTATACGTTTATAGTTTTTACTGTAGATTTTTGAATAAGTTTTGCTTAATGTAAATGTTTTTTTGATAAAAATTCGTATTTTTTTATTTTTTTGAATCACTTTAATATATCAACAATTATGTGATACTTATACAGAAACATACTTATTTTATTGAAAATATTTAGCATTTTTGGAATCATTTTTTTTTATTTTTGTACATTTTAAAATCATTAAAAAACGACTTTTTTAGTATTACAATTATCATTAAATGTAATGATGTAATATCATCTATAGTTCTATACGTTTTTCATTTTGTACAATAATCATAATGACTTGTTATTTGTTAATTTTTTACCAATTGTAATTTTGTGAAAATGTTTGCCTTATTAGTGACACTTTTATTCATGAAATTTTACTATAACAAGACCGGTTACCGTTTTTATTTTTATTTCGAGATGACGCAGAAAGGCGTATAAAGGCATTGATCTTGTTCATAAACCAGTTGGAGAAACACAGAGTAGTACCTATATTTGGTACGTCGCATAGGACATTGACTGTAGATCAAAATTGTAATTAAATATTTTGAAAAATCACTAAAATACAATTTTACTATCTAAATTCGACAAGGTCATTGTTATCAGAATCAGAGGTATAGGTATGTTTGACATAATTATAGATAATATGCGCATTGAGAAGTAGGAAAAAACAGACAGACCGACCGACCAACATTACTATAATGACGAAACGCCTTATTGTACATAGTGCATTAGTTGTTTTCTACATCCATGTCCTAAGGATCGCCTTAGTGTATATGTGTGTTTGGGGTGTCACCTGTTTTCTAGATAGTCGACAGGAAGATCCAACAAATCACACGATTCGTATTCCGCGTGATCGGCAGGCTGGTGCTCCGTGGCGGWGGGGCTGGTGCTGGTGCCGGTGCGGGCGGTGCCGGTGCCACGGCCGCTGCTGGTGGTGAATCTGGCGCCAATGGTGGCCGGCGGATATCGATCACGTTGCCCACGTTCCCGCCGTCCACAGACGACGAAGAAGAAGAAGATTCAGCGACGGTGTTGCCGACGGCCACCGCCGACTCGTCATCCTCATCGGCTTCGCCATCGTCGGACGCTGACCAGCTTTCATCGAGAATATCGGAACCGGCTTCATCCGAGGCGGCCGCCACCGATTCCGCGCCGGCCGCATCCGCAGATTCAGGCACGGCCGCCGACTCAGCCGTGGCCGCTGACTCGGCTTCTGACGTGTCGGTCACCACCGCCGACCCGGTCACCACCGCC